TTATTATAATAATTATTATTATACATATATATTATACACACACAGTTATATATATATATATATATATATATACATACACATACATACATACATATATTACTTTATATATATATATATATGTACACATTGCGTGTGCCATATCTACTGTTGCCCAGCTAAGCATCCACCAGCTGCTCACTCATTCACTTGTCCTGAAGTGGGACAGGGGAGAGAATTGGAAAAGCAAAATCTAGAGGACAACCATGGTTCAAAATAAAGATGGTTTAATAAATGAAAGAAAAAAATCACAAAACAAGTGATGCAAAGGCAATCACCTTCCACCAGCAGATCCATGCTCAGCCAGCTTCTGAGGAACCTTGAATTACTCCTCAGTTTTACTGCTAAACATGACACTTAGTGTCATGCTTAGCAGTAAAAATACCCCTCTGGTCCATTGGGGTCAGCTGTTTCAGCTGTGTCTCTGATGCCTTAAATTTTAGTTTTGATATTTTCCAGATCAGTACTGCTTTAGTGTGTAATTCTAAAACTCCATAGCCTGTCTGCTACTGTCTTAATTTTATTCAGACAAAAAAACTTTTCTCTAGGCTCTAACTTCAAGGGCACCCTGTTTTTCTAGGCCCCAAAAAATGTAAAACCCAAGGATAGCAGTGAGGAGAGAGGGGGATGAACAGGAGAATGGGGCTTTGCTACCTGAAGCTGCAATTGGACAATTGGCTTCTGATATGCAGATGGACCAAGCCTGTATCTGTCTGAAAAGCAAGTCTTACTCATCCATCTTGGGTGTAGTCTCTGCGAGACTCTTGCATTGCCCAAGTTGTACTCTGTGAAGGCCTTGAAATATATACCTGCCTTACTCTTTTAACTCTGTCTAGCTTCTGTTCTAGGTAGCCTTCTTCAGGCATCACCTCTTCCCAGCCTCTCACCCACTCCCAGCCAGCTCACTGGTGAAGGGGACAGTGAGAAACACTGAAAGCCTTTGAAGCCTAAGAGGCTCAGCAGCCTCTTAAAAATCAATGAGTTATTTATTCTGTTTCGGTCACCAATCTAAACCACAGCAGTACATGAGCTGCTATGAAGAAAATTAACTCTTTCTCTTATTGAAGAACAGGCAGCTGGGGTTTGATTTCTTTGGTTCACAGGGAACTGATATCCTGATCCATGTATCTGAGGAGTAAGGCTACAAGATGAAGTACATATAACAATAATGCAAATTAAATTGCAATGGATGATACTGAAGATGAAGAACCTGCCTCCAAATTTTGGCAATTATATTTCTTCTGCAACAGAGAATAAAAAATAATGAAATGTCACTAATATTGGAGGAAGAGTACAGATCAAGAAGGCATCTATTCCATTACACCTCAGTAAAGGGAAAAATATATTAATCACTTTCTGATTGCAACTACATTTTAAGATGGTTTTAAGAGAATTTTTGATCCTTTGTCTCCTTTTCTTTTTTTTTTGGGATGCACACAATTTTTACCTATAAGTCCTGTCTCTATCTTCAAATTCTGTAAGTATATGGCCCATCAAGGTACTGGTCTGTGCTACATCTGTACAGGCACAAAGGTGCACAAATGAGCAATAGTAAGCTGGGGTAACCAAACTAAAGTCCATAGCAACCTCCAGCCCCATCACAGAAGAGATGTCAGCTCCAGGGATGAAGACCATCACAACCAGTCAAGGGAAGCAGATGTCCAGAACACCTTTTGGACTGAGGGAGATAACTTCCTAGGGACATGGCGCATGCTATGGGATGCAAAGGAAGAGTGGTTTGGGATTTCTCAGAACCTGCTGTGGGATGGTCGGGGTAGGAACCAGCTTGTGAGTAGGCAGAGTGGGCCAGGATCCAAGGGGTATCTAAGGATAAGACCATGGGAAAAGCTAGAAGCACCACAAGAGTCCTATCCAACTGCTGGACAGATCTTGCAGGCTGGCTGAGAGTGTGGGTGTACATGAGAGACCTGGAGAAAAGAGGATCCAGGGGCAATTTACTGGCATGTCCAAGCCCAGCTATTGGAGATTCATGTTACATACATATCTGTAATTTTCCCACAAGCAAGCCTTCATCTTGATCAGACAGAGAACAGGATGAAGTCACAAATGCCATTTGTGTTTATGTGTGTCCACCTGCGTTGATCTGTGGTAGGACAGATATGTTTATTTATACACATGTACTGTACACACATTTTGGGCACCTGCCTACTGGGAATACATTCCAGCCTCATCACTGGTCAGAGCTGGGCTCCTGAAGTTGTGTCTCTTTGGGAACCTCAGATCTGGCAACCTTTATGAACCTCTACTGACACTTTTACATGTGTTTTACAAATATTGAAGACTTCTGGACTAACTTTGATTTAAAGATACTACACACACAGAAGCATACCAGCAACTATTGTTTTGTTCATGTTGAAAGGCTCCTTTTCATTTATCCCTTTACTAATGCATTCCCTTCTGCCATAACTATGTATTTTACTTTGAAAAGGCATCTGTCAACTTACTCTCTAAGAATAGAAGAACTTGTTTCTTGATGTTGGTAAAGCTCATCCAAGTTCAGAGTATCTTCTGCCAGACAGGTAAGAAATTCTGCTGTCACTGCTGGTGTCTGTCTCTTTGCAGCACAGTGGTGGCACTGCATGTGGAAGGAAAGCTGTTGAAATCAGCTGTGTACTGCATACACAGATCCCACCTATTTTATTATTCATATTAACTTCAGTTCATTTTAATTTTATGTGAGAGTTTTGATTCAGGTATAAAGCAATTTTTTATTATATAATATGTTTTATTGTTATTCTTCTACCTTACACTCTGATAGGTCCCAGAGGCCTCCATTTCTACCATTTGACTATTTGCAGTGTTTCAAAGTAACCATGGGGTGCCTGTCCTTTTTAGCATCTAATTACACTTTGTAAGGGCTTGATTACCAAAATGCATTAAACAATAATTAGATAAGGATAATTTACATAAAAACAATAAAGTTGAAAAGAACAATATAACTGGTAATTGGCCTTGACCAAGGTAAATAACGTCCTCTTTTTTTATTTACATTTGGTTTTCCCCATAAACTGCCTACTGGGTTGTACAGAAGTAAGAGGCTAGCAAAAATCTGAATCCCCATCCATCAGTATTAATCTCACACTTTACTGAGGCCCCATCCATTTATCTTTCCGACACAAATTAGAAATTCAAGAGTTTTAACAAATGAGCCTGCAAATGTAAACTTATTAGGCCATATATTTTTACTACACACTGTGCAGTGCCCTCCACAAAGCTGTCCCTTCAGAGAGTGTTTTCCTATTTTGTGTTATTGATGGCAGCTAACTAATCACATTTTTAATGTTGTCTTTGGGGAGGGCTGTTTGAGTGAATGTGCAAACTAAACTACCCAGAATAAATCTACCTTATTAAATGCTTGAAATTATGTGTCTTTTACGATAAAGAAACTCTCGAGCATTGTTACATTTGCTAACCTTCTTTTTTGTAGAAATCAAAAGACTGGGATTAATTAAAATAATACATCAAAACAGGGGTTTGTACAGAATGTGTCTGCGTGTGAGAGAAAGGCCAAGAAAAATTGGTTAATTGGTCTCTTCATCCCTTCTCTCTTTCCCTCCATTGAAATATATTTTAAAATTGCTTTTAAACTAACCTTTGTTAGCTAAATGTTGTCATTATTTATTCTTTTGGAGAATTTACTAGTGAACAGATCAAAATCCAAACCTTGAGACACAGCCTTTCTGCAGTTGTCACAAGAGTTTTTCAAAGCTCTTGCATAGCAAGGAGACTCCCTGAACAAAGCATTTCAGATGTTACTAAATCTGGTTATTTTACTAATATTTTACTGATTATTTTACTGAATTTCTGGAGGTTTCTGTTAAGTGATACATTTAGTAATCTATCTGGTTTTCTAAGGCATACTTGTTTGTATGCCTTTAAATTTGTATAATTTTAGAGAAGACTGGGTGAGGAAGGGACTGATCTGAATGACACAGGCTTTTCTAGAAGATAATGTTTAAAATCCTTTAATACACACAGATAAATATCCTTGACCAATAGCATTCAAGCTGTTTTATCTCATCATTCTTAACATTTAACAAAAAATTATAATTACTTTGAGAGCCTTTACTACTTTGCTAAAAGATTGGTTAAATAATTTTAACCAATGATCAAGTAGAAATGCTAATTGCTCTTTCATAACTCTCTTCCAGCAGCAAATACAAGTCTGCCTGATATCTGGATTCTCAACTTCAAAAATAAGGCCTATTGTCTGATTCAAAGATTTGAGCAATGAAGCTGGTTTGGTTTGTTGAGGACCTCTAGAACTGCTCAGTGTTGTACATTTCATTACTGACTCCTACAGAAAAGGCAGAGAACATTTTATAACTTTTCAGGTAGATAGGAAATGAAACTGAGAGCCAATAGTAATAGTTTTAGAAAGCAAGGCAGAGAATTTAATTCAGTTTGCTTTACATATATAACAGTCCAGTGCCTACTTCTGCCCTACTCACCATTTAAAATCAGATTTCATTTGTAACAGACATTTTATAGAAGGGGTTCCATAAAAATTAAAATTATGCACCACAGTTCTTGATATCAATCCAAAGAGAAAAGATCTTCAACACAAGACAAGAGAAGCCCCGTGAAAGCTATACAGATCTAGCCTTAGTTATCTCAATTTTTGTTAAAATACTCCTGTTGGTGCAATGGACCAGTTGGAAATTATTTTTCTTTTCTTAATGTTAGACCTCAGATTCTACAGTACTTGGCAATTAATAAATTATTTGGATTCCTTATATCAACTTTGTTTTTACATTAATATATGGTTTTGCAGTTCATGGCGCAAGCAATTTGCTTATTGGATTAGGAGATATTTTTAGCAAATTCCTTGAAATTTTGTATGATTTTTTTTGTTATTAATATATACCAACAGAGAACCCTGTAGATAACACTACAGTAGGAAAATTATCCAGCAGAATTTCAGAGCAATGAATATTCTGCCATTTCAATACAATATATATCCTATAAATAGCACTCTAATGGATATGAAATTACAAATACTGTTCTGTTGTCGAAACCCTATGGCTTGTGCTATAGAGGAGGTCAGGCAAGATGATCATAATGGTCCCATTTGGCCTTACGATCTATGAATTTCCAAGAGTTATAGGTCTAGTTTAAGTGCACCCTCAGCATGAGTTGCCTTATTATTTAGCAGAAAGGGGGAAAAAGTAACCTTGTTCGTGCTTATTCTGTAATGCAGTAGGTCAACACACATTTTACTCATAGGGTAAATAAGTTTACTTTTTTATATAAAAATAACAGGCAATTTAATATATGTCTTTCCTTGTATGTGCCCCAGACCAGAGAGATGTGTAACCTGCTAATAATGTCTGTCTGTGCTTATTCATTTGCATTTAGCTATGGTCAAGAGCTGAGCTCAGGGGAAGATCATCCTTGTATAATAAAATATCTAGGGAAAGATGGACCAGTTGTCTCTCTTACATGCTGATAAAGTTACTTGCAATCTAAAGCAAAACAAAAAGTAAGTTAATGGAAGTTTGTTTATTCTAACATCCAACCTAAGAGACTGAGGCAAGGAGAGACCTTTATTTACCCAAGCAGACCTGGGAAAATGAGAAAATCCCCATGAATTACACAAAGGTACTTAGAGAAGCAGGGAAGACTGTTTTTAATCAAGTATCAATTGATATCTAGCAGAAGGATAAATGAAAAGTGCACATTTTATTACAGCTGAGGGAATATGGCAAAACATCTTTCACTAGTACTTGTTCAAAATTTTAAACACATTTATTTCCCTCACTCTTTCACATTTCTCTCACTTGCCTAGCAAAGGATTTTATGGATAAGGATATTGATGGATATAGAACTTAAAGAAAATCTGTAAATTAGTTTCTGAAATGATAAATCAGACATCTACACCAAGAACCAAGTTCGAAGACCTGCATATTCTCATTTACTTAGGAGACAGATTAACGTAATGAAGACAGTTCAGAATCTAATTTCCCTTTTCAGAAACTGCCTTTAAGCCCTACTGTCATAGGTATTTTGACTGTAAAACTCACCCTCAGAGGTGATATTTTGTTTTCTGGCTGTTTCATTTGCTCCTTTCCATTCTCTGTTTCTCACACTACTTCAAAATAAATATAATAATACACATAACTAAGTTCAGAGAAAGGCAGAGGAGGTAAAACAAGGGATGAGGATTATTTTTTTTAATGAACAAAAAAATTCCAGGATTTAGCAATAAAATTTCTATGCCTCAAGAAGTTCTATCAGAAACAAAGCAAGACATTATTTTGTGTTATTTTCTGGTTAAAAACTGAGAAAGGAATCTTATCCCTATGCATAGTTTTTTATTCTTAATTCAGTTCTACCAGGATTAACATATCTATGGGATTTTCAGATCAAGTCATTGCATGGTAAGATGAGATAACAGTTTAGCAATAAACATTAGCCCCGCTGCTGAGGAATAGGGGAACAAAATTTTTTATTCTTCTCTTTATATGAAGAAAATCTACTTTAAAAACACAACGTATTCCCTTGAGTAGATAAATTTTCTTCTGCCTCTTTGGTCGCAAAGATGTCTCAGGATATTTCAGCTATTGGGATGTATTTTGTAAATGGAAGGAAGCTGGGAGGGAATATTGGGCTCACTCTGGAATATCTTGTTGAAGGTTACTCAGAGTAAAAGATGCAACAACATTCTGGAAATTTGCCAGCGATCTTTTGTTCTGGACCAGGAACTGCTACTTCACTGATTTTCAGAATCAAACCTGTTGGCAGCATAGCTGCAGTTTTTCAAGAACAGAATGAAGTTTTTTGTTAATTAACTTACATTAATTTCTTGAATTTTTGCTTTTCTCAGTTAGATGCTGTGGGTTTGATATGCTAATGAACAGCCTGTTCCAAACATCTGTATCCCTCTTTTCCAAACATTTTATTTTGCAAATATGATTTATGTATTTAGTGTAACTCATTGGCAAACTTGAGAAAGAGGGCAGGAAAGGAGGTCAACTGTAAAAAGCTGTTAAGGAGGAAGGGGATAAAGTAGAATGATGTGGAGGAAGGATGAGAAAAGGAAACTGATAGTATTTTAGTGATCACAAGCCAAATGTAGGAGCACAGAGTACAGCACAAGTAATTTCTGCTGGTACATTTTTAATTACAATAGAATTCAGTCTCGAAAATGAGGAGAAGGACAGTGTTCTCCAACATACTGATTTGTGAATGCTACAATCTGATATTGCTGTAGTTAAATATACTGAGCTTTGTCAAAGGTCTTTAAGAGTTCAGTCCATTTAGCCTTGTGAAATGAAGGCTGCGACAATGTGACAGCTTTTGACAAGGAAGTAAACATCAGGAAGGGAGAAAAACCATTTAAAACAAACAACACCTAACTACAGATAACCTGGATGAAAGTCAGTTTAGGTACAAACTTACCAGACAAATAGTTGGGAATATCTTACAGTTTTAAGATATATCCTCGATCAGTTATAGATTACATTTTATCCTTTCACAGTCACAATAAAATGAAATTAAAAAGGATTTTAAGCAAAATAATTTCAATTTTATTTTCTTCCAACAGTATTTCAGCCATAGATGCTGATAAATACTTTTTTTCAATTGAAAACAATTATTTTGATATTTTAGAACTTCTAGAAAAATATAGATTTTTGTTATACATCTAAATACCAGTTTTTCTTACAAAGTTGTTTTTAGAAGCCTTCAATGGTCCTGATAGATTTATATTCACTATGCCCATGTTATCATCCACCTTCCTAAATGATGACAGTTATGGGCATTCAGAGTATAACCAGCCAATGACAGTACCAAAGGGATGGATGATTTGGTTTTGTAGATGATTCTGGTTTTTCAATAGATAATTGTTTGGCTCTCCCCTAGCAAAAAAAGCAACATGATATTCAACTGTTTTAATTGGTGCTCTCTTGGTATAAATCATAAGAAGGATTTACAGCTAAGTAAAGAGAAAGTATTCTGAATTAGAAATACAACAGCAGTTGTAAGTACATTTGGAAAGCAAAGTCAAAGCCCAGAATTTTGAAAAATCACAATAATTTGAACAATACTACATCCATGATCTTTCAATGGCAGTTCAAAAATGGGTCTTAATTTCAAATAAATACAGAATCTCTGTAATAAGCTGCCATAAAGTACCCAGAAATAAGATTGTGGGTTTTTTACTATTTCAATTTCAGGAGAAAATATTAGCTTTCATTTTGAATTAATATATTTCCTTCCTCTATACAATCAAAAGCAAAGACATTTTCCAGGTTTACAGAAGGACAAGATAAAAATGGCAAAATGCAAAGGCATATACCAGTAATAGACTGCAAAATCAATTTAAGAAGTGCAACTGCAGTTGTCTTTCCCAGGTTTTTAATTATGTGTTTGTTTGCCATGGTGGCCTAATTTAGTCAAGTAGATGAGCCAACATTAAAAGCTGGTAGGAGAGGTAAGTAATCCCCAGGGTGGGCTGCTTGTGTAGAGAGTTTAAAAGCTACATGTACAGAAGCAGAAGCCAAGGCAAATTTGAGAAGGGGGTCCACATGATAAACAGTGAAAAGCCAGCAAATCAAATTTTTCACAATTAGTTGAACAACAACTGTGACAGGTTCAGCGCTTAGCATTTTCATTTGTGTGCTCAAATTTGGTTATCCGTCCTCTTTTATGCAAATGTGATGTGACAGGAGAAGCTGGGAGCACTCAAGCAGGCCGATCACTCACAACAGGAGCTGGGTCTGTACAGCTGAGAGGTCTGGATTAAATGGACTGAGCGCTGATGGATAAATGACATAACCTAGGCTGAAAGCCTCATGAAGTGATTTAGAACTTCCACAAGATGATGCCCAGAATATAAATTGCATTTTATTCTCAAATGTAAAAATAAAAGAGATAAAAACATCAGCTTCTGCTAGTAAATAACCATACTTATAATCTAGCTAAATCCAACATGCTTGTTGCCTACTACAATAAGGAACTTGGGAAAACTCTAATAGGTATCTCTAATAATTGCTTATACACCAACCTTGTAACTCTACAACTCACGGTGATGTTTTTGTGCTTGCATGGGAGACTTGGAAAGCTGATTAGGCCATTAAATAATTCAATCTACTTTGACAGATGGGAGCATGGCTGATGAAATACATACATAGACACAGAAAATATTTTTACAATGTACTTGCAAGTAATTTGGCAGCAGAAATTATCAGGTCACAGAATTCCATCCTACTGCAGAAAGTAGGATGGACTTATAATACTTAAGGTGATGTATTGTGCCAAAAGCATACTTACACATGAAGGGCCAAAGGAAGAATTATCTGTGTAGAGCTCTCCCTCTGTCAGTATATACTGAAATTCTAGAGGAAAGCGTGCCAGAAAAGTATTGCAGCTTGCCCCTTTGACTACACCACTGCATTATTATTAGGTTAATTTTCAAGGCTGTTGGTAATACTCAGAGATTGTTCAAGAGACCTTCAAACCTTACTAATAACAGGAAAGTTTGAATAAATCACCTACATGAATTTCAACTTGAAGATTACTATTAATTTTCTTTAATAAGGTTTTTTCTAATTTTGCATCTCACAAGACCGCCATTTTATACCTTTCATTAAATCCAGTAGTTATGGTCTACAAAATTTTAATTGTTAATTGCATTTGTCCGTTAGCTAAAGTACTAGGATTTTTATTTTTTTAGTACCCATTCCCTGTTTCAGTTAGCGACATTTATCTCTGGAGAAGATGGATTCCTTGAAGAACATTGAGGACAATTGTCACTGCTTTTGAAAAGAACAGATTTTCCTTAAAGCTCCTTCATCTACCAGTGGAAACAAATCATATTACCTACTGTTAGACTAAGCTTGGCAACTCAATCACACATCTGAATCTTGACACATTTAGTGAAACAAATAGGTCCAGCATACATCATAGGCACCAGAACCCTGTTGCGGGTGCCACAACTATGTTGCTAGGGCATAGCACCTCAGAGGCCCAGATTAGCTATCCCAAGTCAGACCTTTTCTAGCAGAGAACATGGACATGGTGGTCCTGTTTTGAAACCTAATAGTGTGTGTGAGACTTGTTCCATGCCAGTTGGCTTCAGTGTCAGAGAATGGTCCCAGCCATGTTTAATTTACTAGTATTTTTGTAGACCAGGAGGCTGAGTACCAGCATTCCAACAGGGAACAAGACACTGAAATAACCTATGTCTCTAGTGAGTTCTACTAAAAGCAAAAGCTATGAAAACATACTGAAATGTGATAGTGCTGGATATGCAGCAACTAAACCACAGCATTATTCCATGACATGAAATTATTTGGAAGCCCCCACAGTCTACCACCTTGCAAGATCTTTAGGCAAGCTACTATAGGCAGTAGTTGGTGTTGCAAGTACGTTCATGGGCTTTTCTCACCATTTATGTGGTTGTTGGGGTGGAAGAAAAATTCAGAAAGTCCCACATCAATCTAAAATACCATTTAAAATTCATGCAGAGGATTCCTAACACATTGTTCCCATAACCACTAACCAATACTAAACAGAGTGGTTAGAGAAGACTATTCATTCTTTGTCCAGACATTTGGAGGAAAACAAACAAAATGCTGAGTTCTTCAAAAGACAATGTATACTTTTGCAAGTAACAGTATATACAGTATTTGGGGATCTTTTCGAGATTTGAATCCATGGAGATAAAAGTAGATATTATTTTTCATTGTGATTTTGGACTCTGATTATGACTGAAAAATACAGTCTACCTTTCCTTTCGCATAAATATTTTAATTTTGAATGGTTTTGATTATCTGATTTTAGAAAGCAGACATCAAAGCACACACAACCTCTCTCAGATAAGACAGTACTAGGGATGGCTCCTAACAGTTCTAAGGTCCAGAACAGTTACAAAGCAGTTCAGAGAAAGATGGTCATGACAAGACCATTTGTTCTTTGTGCAACTGGAGATTTGTGCAACTGAAATTTTTTGCACTGCAAAAGTGTCCACTTCGAAGGCTGAATTGACGAGTTTCTGTTAATGTAACCACAAGAGCTTAGACCAGTACTTTTCATCTTACTCTGCAGCCAGGATAATGAAAGAGGATTCCCTTGTTCCATGACAGTAACTCAACATCGTACCATTTATTCACTCAGCCAACAAGTTAAACAGCTTAACAAACAGGAAAGTTCCATTAACTGACATGTTGATGTTATCCTACCTAACTTGGATGAACAGGTTTGAACACACAAGCACCCATTGACTGGATAAGTAGTCTTTCAAAAGAGTAACTGACTGTTGACACAACCTACTCCACAGGGACTCATAACAAGGAACACTAAATTCTGCAATCACTCTGCCATGCAGAAATAATCACTAAAGTGAGGCTTCTCTTTACTTCTAGGTATCTTGGATGATAGTCTAAAGTGCCAAATGAAAGCTTCTTTGAAAGTACTAGTCAGAATCAGTATTTCCTGGCCCTATTGTCCAGATTTAGCAGTATTTCCCAAATCTTTTACAGCATGGCTTGTCTGCAACAAACTAGGCTACCCAGAGGTCTGGCAGAGAGGGTAGATTGCAGGAAAGGAAACCTGCAGATAAAAAATTCTTTGGCCAAGAACTTGAAACCTCAGCTTCCATCTGCCTCAGCACTGTGAGAATTTACAAAATTAGAGGGTTTTAAGAAAGCTGCAAAATACAGGCCCCAAAGACTGCAGAACTGTAATTAGAGCTAAGCCGTAGTCATGAGATATGTCAGCAGAAAAATTATTTATACTGAAGAAAAGCAAGGACAAATAGAACAATGATCTGTGTATTAACGCTTGTCTAGAATAGCTCTCTAAGCTACAGAAAACTTTATCTAGCAAGATATTAGAAAGGTTAAAGCTTACTAGTGGAGCTCTGTGCGTTGTGTTTTAAGGCTTACAAGTAGATATTGTATTCGAAATAAGCAAGCATTGTTTTAACCAAAGGTACGTGTGCTCATGGTGATTGGATAGAACTACTGTCAATATGCTTTTGCTTTGTGTGATTGGTTAAGAAACTTATAAAATAAGTTGTAACTTTAAGTTCTTTGTCTGCTGCCTAGAATGTGAGCTGCTGTCATCTTCCACTGTCATAATCATATAATGACACCGATGCTGAAAAATAAAACAGCTCAAGGCACGTTCCACAGCAGTCCTGTCCTGTTTGTGGTCTCTAAATAGCCCCCCTGCTGGCAATAAGCACCTCCTTCTAGAATTTTAATATTGGTAGTTTATTTCATTAACACCCAACAAATTTAAACAAAGCCAGCCTTTCTACCATCTAACCTAATTTCAAGTCCTACAGTGCATGGTACAGACCTACACTTAGTTTTCTTCTCACCTTCTGGGTTCCCTGACTAAGGTGGCTAAATGCTGTCAGAATTGCTTTTGTTCCCTGCCAATGGTTTAGCTTTTCTACACAGATCCATTCGAGAAAATGATCTCCTGCTCCAACCTAGCCTCAAGGCTGCTTCACCCAGCTGGCAAAGCTGAGTTCTAGGAAGTGCAAGTGCAAGCACATTGGTTCTGCTGAACCATAGTGAGTAGAGGAGGAAACCCTGCTCCTGCTGGATTAGCACTGCACTAACATAGGGCCACGCAGCCTTTTACACAAAGCTACCATACTCACAATAAGCTAAATGAAGGTCCTAAAAATCAGACAAAAATCAAGGTTTCTCACAATCTTTTGGAGGTGATTGTTGACTGATCCGAGACTGCCTTGCCCACATCAGAACCACTGAAGGATGTGCCAAAAGGAGTCAGAGCTCCTACAGCCAAGTCCCAGTTTGTAAGGCTATGAAGAACACAAATGGGTCCAGAGAGTCAGCTCAAACGCAGGGCTATGCAGCTTTCAATTCAGTGGATCACGGCTGATGCACAGCATGTTCTGTGCTTGTCCTGAGTCCTGTGCAAAGTTCAAGGCTTCTGTTCTCAACTGATCTTCTGATCTTCTGTGGAAGCACTTCAGCTTCCACATTCTGCTCACTAAAGTTTTTATTAAATGTTTTGTTCTGGCTCCTGTAAATCAGGGGAAGAGAAGAGACAAACCAAGAGTTGAAGCCAAACACACGTAACCAAGAAGAGCACAGTGGTGTGGCTTTTTCAGCGAATGTAGCATGGCTTGAAACAGAATCATGGGATGAAGAGGTCTACTGATACCACCTCCTCACTCCTGTTCCCCCAGCATCCCCCACCAGTAGCATCTTTTCAGTCATCAGACAGACGAGGAAGGTAATTCATTTGTACTATCCCATTTTAAATTACTACATTATCACTTAAGTAACCTGCTGTGTCAAGCACAGAGCACGGGCAGGAGTGATTAGCCATGGTACTCTCTGATCCTGGCGCAGAACAAGACTATTTATGAGAACATTTTTCACAACTTAGTCCGGGCCATCAAAGAGTTAATACTGCTTTATATAGAAAATTAATTCTTGAAAAACACTATAAAGTTCAACAGTGGGCAGAATTTATTTCACAGAAAGATTCAAATGCTAAAAACTATCTCAGTATTTGTTAATTCAGGGTGACTCCAGAGAGTAATTCATAAGCTTCTAAATTAATATTTTTAAGGAGGTCATAAAATGTGAACTTTAGTAACTGCTACAGCCAATCAAGGTGCCATCAATCTTGCCTTAGACTACTAACACACTAGTAATTACCTACTCAAATTACTTCAAAAGTTTAACAAAAGCTTATCTACAGATAGTATTGTACCATGATATACTGCCATCTTAAAAATGGTAGTGTACTGAATTCTCCTGGTTAATCTTATAGTTACTTCAGATTCAAATTTCTGTAACTTACTCTCTATTTATTCTGTGTTTTCCTGGTAAACTGTCTTCAAAAAATTCAATATATGGTAGATTTGCAGAGAAAAGCCACTAAAGAGCAAAGACCTCAGTCTTTGCTCAGAGACTCAAAGACCTCAGTCCTTTTTAGTAGAGAAAGGATTACAGAAAACAAGGATGGAAAAGAAATAGTACTTACTTTAAATTCACTTGAAAGGATGTTTGGAGACACCTCAACACAGAAACTGAAGAAATAAATATATTTGAAATTATTTTAATATTTTAGTTATTATTTATTTAGTTATTAGTTAAAAGGCATTTTAGTTATTAAAACATAAATTTAGTGAAGACATGCAAATAATATTGTGAGAATTCAACAGTACAAAACTGCACGTACAGAGCGAACTAACCTATTGAAACTTAACAAGGTCTAATATGACTTACATTCCTTAATTTTTCATTATATATTGACAGGAAAAAGTGTTCTGTATCATTCTGTTGTACTGCCAACATCCTTACATTACCTCTAATAGAAAACTTATTTTGTAATTCAGGTCAGGTACCAAGTCTGCTGACCAGCACTTTGCTTATTCCACCATATAGGCTACAGCTATTGCTTTTTGCTCTTTAATCTCACATTTTCAGTAACAGAAAACTCTCATAGATAAATTTGGCTACATCACATTAATACATCTAAATACACAATACACAGGATGTTGCTTCTGGGAACAAAGAATTCCAAATCCTAAACAATAAAAGTTTTCTAAGGTAAATTATTATCACAGAGAAAGCAGATAGAAAAATATAATTAAAAACTGTATTAAAAATACTCTTTGATTTCCTATTTATTGGGTAGAAAGATCACACAGGGGATGTATGATTTTTAAACATTACCCAATATCTTTCTCAGAGCAGCAGTGGGTAAATGTTAATAATCTATCAGATCAGAAAGCAAAGAAATATTCATGATAAATAAAACCAAGTAATTTTTACAACCAGAATTCCTCTTCTCTCAATCACTTCTGGTAAGTAAGGTTTCCTTCTTTAGGTGAATTCAAAGACACTGACTCCTTGGAAGTCTTGCAGCATTTTGTGATGTTTATCCACAGGTGCTGATACAGCGGCCCCTTTCAAGAAAAAAGGAGAGAATATAATAATCTCCACATAGCTGATTTTGTGAGTTAGGAGGAGTGTAACAAAATCTGTGGTGCCTCAGCACTTTTTGACATTGCACTAATGACTGAAAGGGAATAGAAAACAAGACAGAATGAGTTACATACACGTCCTGCATGGTGTTGGCCTATATATGATTTGTGTGCATGGGGATTGCACTCTGAGCTCCAAGTGCTCCACTGCACACTCAGTGTTCCAATGCATGGGCTACCAGCAGCTTCCTGGTGCACCCAGGCAAGACTGCAGGAGACAGTGAATGGGTGTAGAAGGATCAGCAAGTATTCCACATCACAGCTGAAAAATTGTTTTGGGTAATTACAGTGCACCAGTTGGAGGAGCTACAGTAGTAATTATTTGATGTATTTCAGATGAGTCTACCATAAAGCAAATATAACTGGCTACAGTGGTGGAGTTTATTCAAACTATGTTAGGATGGTGATTTCTTTTTGTAGTTTGTATGAAAACTCAATGTTGTGTGCCGTTTCTGTCCACCTCCACTTTCCAGCAATAAGTTTTAGCTTTCCCTATGCCAGAGCACAAACACATGCTTAAAAGATTAATTCTTACAAAAATCTTTGACAAACAGGATGAAGCTACCCAAAGTTTTCTATAAGTTCAAACCTAATTCAACTCCCAGAGCAGAAAAGGCAACAGATACATGCCTTTTGCAACACAGAAACATTCTTCTGTTTTATTCAGATTTAAACACCCGGAGTCATGTTTTATCATTGGTACCTAAATCCAGAGAGATACTTTGTTTCAGTTCACACACACAGGATTTCTGCTGACATAGTAGAGATGTATACAGGTTTTTGCAAGAAATGCAAATATTAGCATGAGAACTGAAACAGGAAAAGTATCACTGAAGTGTTAAAATGGGAGCACTTCATAGCTTTTGTTTCACTTGTGTAGCCATAGTGCCCTCTAGCAGCCGAAAAAGAAAATGCAAGGCTTTACCTCAAGAAAAAAAAAAAACCAAAAAAACAAAAACCACACACACGAAATCAAAAGTGATTTTGTTTTTTGGGGTTTTTATCTTTTTTTTTTTTTTTTTTTTTTTTTTAAGCAGAAAAATGACAGTTTGCAAATGAGAGGAAGAACTTTGTTTCGTGTAAAAACAAGGTACTTTAATGGAAAGGACACTTATCTTGGCTTCTATGTAGCAGAACTCTGCAGAACTGGGAACCTCTATAAAAATGAGGGGTTTTACCCTAAAGGCATTTCTGTGCCTCAGCAGATCTCAGCTACACTATACAAGCCCTAGCAACATGCACCCGACTTTAGCAAAAGGATACAGATTCTTACCTGCACAGATCAACACACATTTCTGGGAAGTCTTTTTTCTCTTTGGCTCAAATATCTTTATTACACAAAATTTTGTGCAAGACAAAGAACAAATTATGACCTTTAAAAGCTAAAAAACTTGTCATTTCCCTAGAGAGCAAATTATTGCTCAGAGTTCATGGGTCATAGAGCTGGGACATATCCTGTCTGGCTGCAGACTATAACAAAAACATTTTTGAGAAACTAGTGTTTCTGTTCCTTTTAAACTAGATTTAAGAAACAGAAGCCATTCTTCAGCAACTAGGAAAAGAACATCTGCACTGTTGAAGTTTTCAGGCCTGTAAACAACATTTCCGATTTCCAGTAATCTTCTGAGCTTGTCAGGAAATTACTTTCTCCTGGGAGAGAAAGTGCTTTTCTCCCTTTTCTTTGCAGATAAAGAGTGTACATTACATGATATCAGAAGATCTTTTTAAAGAAAATTTTTACCCATTAAATTACTACCAAAAAATTTATGTACATCTGCAAGACAGAAAAAATAAAATAGTGTAAAAGAGTAAAAAGGCTATTCTACCCTCTCTGTTTCCAAGAGGTCAAAATGAAACAAACAGGTCTACTGCAGATGTTTTTCAGAAAAATGAATTCTGAAGAGCATATGTCTCAAACTTTTTTCTTTTATTTGCTGATAAGAAAATACTAAAATCCAGTTCATCAACTAGACCAGACAGATTTGCTAAATATGGTATTCCACTCTTTGGCAGAGAAAGGTGAGAAACTGAATTAATCTGTTCTGCTAACAAAGCAAGAAGAATATCGGAATTCAAGAATTAAAACTATAATATCAAAATGACTACACTATACCACAGGGTCAGATGAGATGATTTTCAAAGACATCAACTGGTCTCAGGATTACAAGCTTACTGCAAAAAGAAGAAAAAAACATTAATCTTCACTCAAGCCAAGAACAAAGAACAACCATTAAGTTTTAGCATTAACACATAGAGAAGAATTTTAAAAATAATTATCTATTAGAAAAATAGATTGTATGGGTAGTATAGGTGGTATGTTCTTGAAATCCTTCTCATTAGATTTCCCACTAGATCTCAACAGAATTCAAATAAAGACTGAAATCACCGAAGTCTATTTTTGTTGTATTTTTGATGTCCTCAGAGTAAAAACATGGTTCAGAATAAAACATGCAGAGGCATATTTAAATAAAAAAACTTAAAAGACTGCAGTATTTAGAAACCTATGCAACAAGCACACTAGTGCATTTAAAAAGGTCTACACTGACCTCTTTACAGAGTCCACAAAAACTAAAGGTTCATCTGCCCCAAGGATAAGTTTACAGACATATTTGCTCATTAGAGAAAGATGAAGCTTTCTTCTTTTATCTTGATCAAGAACTTTTACTTTGTCTGACTTAACAGGTTCATTTGAAAGTAATCAAGTGCTGTAACACCAATACAGTAAGATACAGCTCCAGTCAGACCACTGTGATGAATAATAAAATTTTTTTCAAATTTCACTTTGTTTTCCCAGAAACCCCTCAAATTTCTGTTATGTGTTCCAGTTGCTCTAAATTTAAATTTTTTCATTGTAACTTACTGTCTCAGTTGTAATAAATATAAGAAATACAGGATTAAATCTGACTATATCTTTATTAGTTGCAACATAAAATAAAAAGCAAATTTGAATTAGTCAACGAGGTGTTTCATTGAAGGTCTCTACCCCTTTATATTACTTCGTGTGTTTGTACAACTGTAGTGTATGACTGGTCTTAAGACAAGGAAAAATATGAACAGTTCTGGCCATAAATATTGTTTCAAAGATTTATTCTTGTTAATCTACTGTTCTGTAGAGATTGTAATATAGTCTGAATTACTGATTCTCTTTAAATGTTTTGTAGTTCAACCAAATCTAGTTTTAAACAATATTGCCATTGAACTGCATGTCAGCTCACATCTTACCTAAGTCCTTTAGCATCCAAGTGGAAAATCACATACCTTCTTAAATGTTACCTTTTATTCCATGGAAATTTTGAAAAGCTGTACTGAGGAAAACCAAGCCAGCAGGATGTTTGGTTTGTTGACTGAAACAAGGATGCTGCTCCAGGTGACAAAAGATTTCACTGTTAAGCTATGTTAATAAGGATCTGACTGAACTGAAGTGACAAGCATTAGCTAAGGTAGCAGCAAAAAGATGGAGGGAAGAGCAGGGCTAGTCAAGGAAGACAGAGCAAGCCAACAAGAAATCGAATGAAGAAAATAATTTGACAGTGACAGAAATCTGCATAGCATTCATTCAGACTGTAACTGGGACACTTTTCTTATCCTGAATGACATACAGCCACAGACTGGTTTTGAATGGGGTTGGTTTTAAAATGAGAATAAGCCAAGCCATTCTGATCCAGGTGTTTTTCAACCACTCAGAATGTCACAAGGGAACAGGAGGGAACAAAATACACACCAGTAGAAAGTTTGCAGAAGGAAGGTGATAAAAAGAATTTTAAAAGGTTTCCTCCTTTGCAGGGTGTAAAGTTCCAATGAAAGGAACCTTGGATGGATGCATTACCAGGCTGAATTCAAAACAAGCAGACAAACTTGGAACCCAAGTTTTCAAATTATAAGATACAGCAACTTCAGATAATTTGTAAGACGCACTCGTATAATAAACATACTTATAGTTGGTGGTAGCTTGTGTTGAATGACTGCAGTGAAAAGGCAGGTTTGAACAACAAAGCATGCCACACAAACACTTTATGGAGCATGGACAATGTTTCACTGTGCTGTACCTGTTCTGTAAGACAACACACAAAAAAATCTCCACATTGTGGATTGTCAATTTGGCCCCCTCCAAATGTACTAAATTAATTAAATAAGTAGGAAAGCTTGCACTTAATTCAGTGAATTAGAACAGCTCATTCAGAGCACTGGATAAAAAGTTTCTTAAAATATTTTATTTTCCCTGAAATTCAGTGTAAAAGGAAATCAATATCCCAAATACAATTCCTTACGGCAAAATTTAGAACTTAGTGTAACAAGCATGGCAGTCAATTGTGACATTTCAATGTGAAACTAGGACTGTACAAAAATTTAAGTGCATGTTTTTTGCAATAAGATATGCATACACATCAGGACAGAGGGGAAAATCAACCAAAAAGCTCAAAAAAAAAAAAAAAGCCAACAAAAAAAACCAGGATCCAGTTCTTGAAATCCCTTCAAATAACTGGAAAGCATAAACAAAAATTCTACAGCTGGAGCTCTTCTCTCTAGAATGCTACTACTTCTACTTTCCTCCATTCCTACTTTGGAAATGAAAAAAAAAAAAACCAGGGACATGACTTATATCCACTCTACCCCTCTTTCCAGCAAAACACAAAAACACGGACTAAAGAAAACACCCTATTAACTGAAGTACTACCACAAAATCACAGACTATTCCAAGTTGGAAGGGACTCACAAGGATCATCGAGTCCAACACTTAAGTGAATGGTGGTACAGGCTCACATCCATCTATTTGATAAGTAAGACAGTGGTATTATGATGCACTCGTTAATGAATTAATGGGGGGAAAAGATTAAATCAAAACAACACCCCACCCACTCCCTTCAGAAAAAAACAAAACCCAAGAATTTAATACTCAACATGGGTTTCCTTTTGAAACCAGTCCAGTAAAATGCCACTAAGTAGAAATAAAACCAAGTCTTCCTGAAAAGTCCTTTACTGCAAAAGAGTAGGCAGTTCCCCTTCCTAAGAAGCAACTTCAGACCTCATATACCAGAAAGAGCAGCTAAAAAGAGCCAATGAAGACTTCCTGGAGAGCACACTAACATTTCACCTATTTTTGAATGGTGAATATGTGCTATAGTGTGAATACAGGATTTTCCAAGTGTTTCATTTGGAATGAAAAAAAGTAATCACAAAAACATAAGAATATAAAAAATGTTTAGACTATTACCTACTAAGTATTGAGATTCTCCTCACATATTTTTCTAAATTGTATTTCAGTACTGCACGTAATTTTTGTGGCATCAAACTTTCTTCTAGAGTTGCCCAGTGCAAGATATATTAAAAAAAATTCCTTATTGTTGAGAGTACTATTCTATTTAAGATTTGACTTGCATGACTTCAAATTCAGAACATTGAAAAGTTTTTATGAAGAGTACACCATGTGTTAATGTGGATAAAACACGATTGAGATTGGTTCCATATATTCAGTATTATTTTAGTGTAAGTGATAGTGATTCAAGCTCCTTTTGTGAACATGGGGGTGGGGGTTGCCATCTGGAATGGTCTTTTCTCTTTTTTTTCTTTTTTTTTTTTTTTTTTTCCATCATGAAGGACCATTGCCTTAGCTTTTTTGGTTATTGCTTTTTTTTCTTTTTCTTTTTTTTTTAAGACCATTCCATTTCTTTATTTTTTTAACATCTTAAAGTCATAAGGACTTATATGCAAAGCAGTCATACACTTTATCATTAAAACCCATAGGTAAAATACGTACACAAATCCAACAAAAGGCTAGTACATAGTAAAGCCTAAGCATACTACTATGCAATATTATGAATACATAACTTTAGAGACTTCAGTTTAGTACTGTTATCTATTCATTTCTGAAAACATTCACAAAGATTTTAAATGCAAATTTTCATTCCGTATCTGGAATAGAACAAAAATTATCTATGTTATAACAACTTTTGGTCATTTTTGTTTGACCA